ATAAATAGCTTATCCACTAAGGGAAACAAAAACGGTACACATCAAAGATTTGTTGTGAAAAATACGTAACATGCTCAATTGGATAATTCATCACAAATCTCACACACACACACACACGTATATAGACGAGGCTGAAGTTGCATCATTATTCAACCAATGATTAGAAGTAACATAAGCACACGTGGCTCTGCCTCTAATGGCTCTCACAAATTGCTTCCTCTTACGCCCATCCTACTCACGCCACACGTGTAATTAAATTATAATGCAAACAAAAGTATGTACATATAATTAAGTATATAAATGGAGCGTTTCAAAGTTAGATTTGATCACCAAAGTGGTTCGTTGGTATTTAATTCGTTATTTCGTTTTAGACAGTTTGAGTTGCGAGACAGCTCAGGCAACAAAACAAAACACTTGTCACTATATATGGCATAGCTAAGTGTGAGGATGAAAATAATATTGCCTATTTAATTTCCTTCAATGAATATTTATTTTATACTATTTTCAGTTCTTAATATGAGAGCTAATTTGATTTTTAATTTAGTTCTAAAAATAAGATCTCAATCCACTTTGTTTCTCATATTTATATTTTTTTCCTCAGGATAATCCTTGTAGTAGTTGTACATGTTAAACATTTCATTAAATGATAATTTTAGCTAATACACATGATTACCAAAAATATTTTAAAGAAGATAACATCTATTTATTACAAATAATTAACTTAATTAATTTTTTTAATTTACTTAAGTTAGTCCATGAGTCCTTATATTAAGGACTAGAAGTAGTATATATTATACTAAATCTTTGAGACACGTATATTTTGAGTGGTCAATAACTATTTGAGAGCAAATTGCATTAAATGGTACTCCTCATGTTCTTAATATAAAATCTATTTAACTAATATAATTAGATTAAAAAAGTTAGGTAAGTTGGTTAATTATAAGAAATATGACATGTTTTTCCTAAAACACCATAATCATCTTTTTCAATATTCTCTCTTCCTCTTCTACTTGATTATAGTTGAGGGAAATCCATCGAGGTGATTTAAAAAAAATTAATAAATATAAAAAATAGGTCTGTATTTAGGATCAAAATCAACTCAATAATTAGATCATATATTAAGAAGCAGACGGGTATAATTTTTTCCCCCTTGAAAAACCATGTAGATTCTCCATTTGAAATGGATTGTTTTGAAATGGATTGTTTGGATGAAAACTAAACCATGATTTTTAGAAATAATTTTTTTGAGTTTAAAATTAATATGTGAGAAGAGTTTTATCTTTACTTATTTAAAAACATTTTTTTAAAAAGTTGCGTTCCAGAAACTCCAAACACCCCGCAAATTATGCCTAAACTGAGCCACGGTTTGATCTTGTTTTGTCATCAAGTGGGCCAAATTTTGCTTTTGATCTGGATGGGGGGCCTGAGCCCTCATCATGATACGATGTCGTTTTAAACTCGAGATCTGCTATATAATATGAAACAATGCCCAACTTACTCTTTTATATATATATATATATATATATATATATATATATAAATTATAGTAGTTAATAATGAGCAAGAAAGGTTTATTTCTCTGTGCCAGACTGTCTCCCATGTTGTACAGAGACGCAGCACAATATCTGCACACATTTTTTTCTTCTCAGTTTTATTCCATTTATGGTCACAATAATATTTGTGTTTTGTAGGGATATTACACCCTGCCATCCCTTAATTAATTAACTAATGGTCTCATTAAATTAAGTCTCACATGAGTTTTCAATTATTATATGATTTTTCTCATGAAATGAATGAATATCCTCTTTTGTTGGACTTTGAACAGCTCGATCTCCATATATTGATATGTGTGTCACTAACTAATCAAGAAGATGATTGATTCTTACAGATGTCTCTTACACATATCAATTCCTAATTGGGAGTTTTATTTGTCAACGTTATATCACTATATATATTTATTAAATCGATGTAGGGATACATTGTTGTTGTTCATTACGTGTCATCTGCTAATAAAAATCACAATATCGCTTGAATGTCAGAGATTTGAATCTGGGAAAGAAAGGGAGGATAAGCTTGCTTTTATATATATATATATGTGTGTGTGTGTGTGTGTGTGTGTGTGTGTGTGTGTAATATCTGAACAATTATTGAAATTTTATAAGAAAATTATGCCAAATTTGTCATTGTGATGTGGATATTTCAATCTGAGAGAATGTGGTTTTGGAAGACTTAGGTTTCAATAATTGAGAGCATTGAAGGAAACATAAGAATGAGGTTTTATTGCGCATGTTTAATCTCTCACACGCAATGCACAAACTTACTGTATAGAAAGATGTGTTTCTTTTTTTTTTTTAAAGTAGATGAATAAGGTCACTTAGACGTACGAGGAATTCGATCCACGCATGCACGTAAGTTCATACAAAAATGAGAGTAGACTGAAATTGCGTACGTCTCCTTTTGAAAAGATAACAATTAATTAACTAAAGTAAAAACAATTCAAATTATATATATTCAGAACATTTATTTAATAATTATACAAGGAAAATCGATTCAAATTTGTAACCAACCAAATTACAGGTATCTCAAGACGTATAACATACTGTCGCATGGATATCAAAATATAAAATAACTTGGAAGAGACGACGACAGAGAAAATGATGGACTGTACAATTAAATAAACCTGATTTCAATATGTTCTGGAATAAATGGGAGGGAATATGATTTCAATATAAAAAATTCACATCACATCAGGAAACTAAAGGAAAATGTACACGTAATAAATATGGGAACAGCGTTATTCATTGGGAATGTATAGATATAAATATACATATATATATATATATATTTATATGTGTGTGTGTGTGCGTAGGAAGGACAAGCAGCGATTTTTGTGGGATTGAGCATGTGATGAGGCAAAGCCATGTGATCCTAATTAAAACTCACACGTGATTAATGGTCCCCACACACACACAATAATATCAAAATAAAAAATAACAAGAAGAGGCACTCTATATCATTATATTGAATAGAGATATTAAATTAAGGGGTTAGCTAGATCGATCTGTCTTCGATGAATATGATGATATTCTCTTGAACAATTCGGTTCACAAAAGGAACGCCATGCATGCATGTACGGACACCCATATACACACATGCAAGCATGAAGCATGCTCAATTCTATATTTCATATATATATATATATATATATGTGTGTATGTATATATATATAATAATAATAATAATAATACAAACACACACTTTTGCCTAGAAAACTTGTTATATTATCAATTAATATTGCAAGGATAGATGCGTGGAACTTAACTGGTACTTGAATATTATTCACATCTGGTTCTGCTACTTAGCTTCTACATGCAACGTACGTACATGCATGTGTACGTACCTGTGTACTCATCCAAACTCGTTCACTCTAATCTTAATGGATCATTAATTAGCGTTAATTCTTACACTGCTAATTTTTCATTGCTTGGCTTTTCTAAATTATTTGAGTTTAGCTTGATGACCATTCTTCAGCAATAATGTTCATTTTGTATATTTGGTTTTTAATTTTCATTTTGTGTGCTTAATTTTGAAGAACATGTTGGCACGGTGTGTGTGATTAATATATGAAATAAGTCTTATATATAGAACTAATATTAACTACTCAACTACATTTTTACATTAAGGAGCGGAGGAGTATTATATTGGGCTAGACAACTTATAGTTTTGTGGAAAAGCAACTGGAAACAAAGTTCAAGGGTTCTGATTAGTTCGATTTGGGTTGAAAACCGAACCGAACCAAAACAATCGGTTAGACAACACTTTGGAACCAATGCAATTTAAGGTGAGATGGGTTTATTATCAGTTTTAGAATCTTTGGTCAGTTTATACTTAGGGTTGATGATGAGGAGAAAATATTAATTAACTTTGTGTGTGTATGTGTGTGTGTGTTGGGGGTAATGTTAGGATTCTGAAATCACACTTTGTTAATCTGTGAACACGTACACTTGTTTTAATTCGTTTGTAATGTGTCGGAGGAAAAAGTCAAACCACACCAATTATTGAGTGTTAATTATTAATACTACTAATTGATTATATAATCCATAAGCTTAATCATCTGACATGCATGGAAACTCCTACTCTAAAGCAAATAAATAAAGTCTAGCTTAATTAACATAACTTAATTATTAGATTCTCTTAACCTTTCTCTCTCGCACACACACCAGCTATATGTTAGACACTGTATTAAAAGGAGAGATTCTTTGCCCTTTCAACTTCAAACCAAGTATATACTACACATATATAACCCAAGATGCAGTTTTTTTTTTCCCCTTTTTTTAATGAAAAGACCAATAAGACCCTTTGAACTTCTTACAAGAAATGATTTTTAACATATCTGCTACTTAATTGATATGACAGTACATATTATTCCTTGAATATATATGTTAACGGCTTGAGACCCACCTTGACAGATGAAATTTGCTATTAACAGCTTGATATTAATAATCAGTTTGAAAAAAAAAAGTCAAAGAACAATGTCATTTTGTATCGTATCATTAATTTGTGTTCATACTTCATTCCGATAATTTTGTTATTTATATCAGCTTAGCTGTGCATGCATATGTATAAATACCCATGTGCTAGATTGTCTTCGCCAGAGAAGTCAGATACTTCGATCTAACAAAAGTTGTTAATCACAGAGATTACAGAGAGAGCAAAGACAAAGAAGATATAATTGAAGATATTCTGTGAACAATAAAACTGGGATTATATAAGTTGCAGGCCCAGTACATGCTACTAGGAAAATACATGAAGTTAAAATTTTCACTGCTACATCTTAATATTTAGATAAGTAATTAATAAGGTATTAGGGAAAGGCCATTCATTCTGAATTCCCAAAAATGCCCTTCAGAACGACCAACTTTTCTCTGGATAGAGGCTTTTCTTAGTCAGACATGGATTAACGATCTTGAAGACATAGCTAGCATCTGCATGATCTGATCTTAATGATCATTTCTGGTGCTTGGAGGTTGAGTTTCTGTCTTTCTGGGACGAGAAAGAATGGCATCAATGGCTTCTTTTACTTGAGAAATATCAGGTGCTTTTCCTCCTTGGACTGGCCAAAATTCATCAGTTGCCAGTACCTGCACCACCCAGAAACAAATTTACCAAGTCAGTGTCACACAGAAAGATATTTTGAAGGAACTGCAAAACTAAACAGAAGAAGATGAAAGAGAGTGTTTAACTCCCACCTTCACTTGCAATTGAAGAAACTTCACATAACTAATGGCTTTCTCCAGCATGGTCACCAAATCAACCTGTTAATATTGTTCATTATTACAAAATTAATGCAAAGTTCCAAGTATTTCTGCAAGAAAAGGAGCGAATGAAGAAAGCATCTCGGAGAAGTTGAAAAGAAAAAGAAAATACCAACCTTGGAGCCATTAGGAACTAGTTCTTGAAGTATCTTGAGTCGCTCGCTTATCCTCTCTCTTCTGTTCTGCAAGACAAACATTCTATCTACCATGAACCACACATATTTTAACTTTGCTTAATCTGTAATCAAAAAATCGTTGTACAGATGAAACATAGTTAATTTGGCTTAGAAGACAAGCAAACCTTGGCTGCTACACTCTGAGGATCCTTAGATGGGTTTGACTTTGTTGGTTTTGGTGTTTTACTTGCAGCACCACTAGCAGTGCATTGCTTCTTTGAGGCTTGCGCGCTCTCTCCCTGGAAAAACAGAAAAATTGATCTCAGAATTCATCATTTGTAACATCTAATTAGTGTTCTCTGTCAGGATAATTCAAACACAGAAAATGCAGTTTTTTTCTTTTCTGGAAGAAATACCATTGAAGGGCGCTTATGGAAGGATGCTTCTTTTGCTCTTGGTGAAGAATCCTGAAGGCTACCATCAGAAGGAACATTTGGTTCAGAGTATAGCCACCCATATGATGAACTCTCACCTTGCTGCTGCTGCTCTTTTGGTCCTCCATAGCCACTAGCAGTTTGAATGCAATTAAAATCCTGAATCAGTCTTGATGGGTCTGAATTGCTTCTGTGACTGATCTGATTCCACTGATGAAAGCCACTATTCTCCCACAAACAGTACTCTTTCTGCTGAAAGCTAAGCAAAGATTCACCACCATTAATGACAGCACTGTACCCACCATTGGCTTTGAAGTTGATGAGAGATTTTGTTTCCTCTGGATCATTGCTTGTGGCCTTATAAACAAACCCATTTCCAGTCCCACTCATAGGAGGAGAAGGAGAATATTGGGTTATGGCAGAATCGTTGCTAAACGCATGTTCTTCACCGCGTACAGAGTTGTGGTACTCAAGCGACATTGTCAGAAACACAATTCAAAAGAAAAGCTTTGAAGGGGTTTGAAATATGTATGCATGAGAGAGAGCTAGTAAAGCAGGGCTATTTGTAGATGCTTAAGAGTTCAACTCAATTCTAATTTCTAAATAAGGAAGATGAGGTTAAGACAACTAAAAAAAGTTCAACTTTATGGAAGAAATCCAATAAACTAATGGGAACAAGAAATCAAAATCTAATAGTAAAATACTAGAGTTGGTTTTATCAATTTGCAGAATCATTAATTAATGGAGTCTCATTGGGATTGTTAGCTGGCAGAGAGTGAAGAAGCAGAAGAGAAGATAAAATTAAAAGAGCAAAAGGGCCGCCGTATCATTCGCAAAACCCACGTCTCTTTTGATTCCCATTTTGAGGTTTTCAAGTCTCGCTTTGATGATCAAACTTCGGTGGTGGGGTGGCTTCTTACATGCTTCGTTTGGATTCTAATTCTAATACCTAAGCACGTGGACTTAGACTCTGAATTTATTTTATCAAATGGTACATTCTGTGCAGCTGTCTCTCAACTAGTTTTAAGGAACAAGTTTATGTGACACTGATTGACATGAAGGGTTTTGTCTCCTTCAATTTGATTGCTCACTGAAATCTATATGTATGATTGTTTTTTGGATATGAAAGCAAAAGATATTTTAAACGTTGGCTACGTATTTATGTACGTATGTGTAGGTGTATATATATGCATATACGAGCTTAATTCCAATTTCTAAATCCTCTGTGACCCCTCTATCATCCAAGTTGTTCTGATATGCTTCTTCTTCATTTAGCCCCTCACACAAGTTCTCCATCTCCTTTCATTGATTATCGTCATTCAATTTTATTTATGTTATTTTACTATTATTCAAATAAAAATATGAATATCATTTTTATACCACAAACCTTCCCCGTTGCCTTCTACTGTGATTTTATCTCCCATCCTAAATACAGGAATTAGATAATGAGTTTGTTTTGGTTTTAAATATAAAATATAAATCTGCCTCTTAAATTTATCACTCTTTCCTTAAAATATTCTTATTGATTGCACATAGTAAGGGGGTTTCCATTAAATAATAGTTATAATGCACATAATTATGAAAGGTATTTTAAAAAAGATAATATACATTGTTATAAATAACTAATTTAACTAATATCATTAATATCTGTAAACTGGAGCAAATGCACTAATGGTAATCTAAGTCCAAATTGCTTATAGTGAGTCCTTCATCAGCACCCTAAACACATTAAGATTGACCGATTTTGTTCAGCAGCATGTCATATTGTCATTGGTGCCGCTCTGTCTACTTCTCATTAGGATCTGAAGATGGTCAACTAACTTGTTCAGGAAGTCGCATGATTATTCATGACGATTTTTTTTAAAAAAAAAATCTAAGTAGGCAAACTCAAGATGATTCTCATTCCTCTATCTCAAGTCTTAGGAAATGTTAACGTAATCAAATGAGAGTTGGTACAACTACGGTTGATTTGGGGTAGTTTTTTTAATTTTCCTATATATATATTCATATATAAACCATTTCAAATTGAATGCAATGCATGGCACATTTTATGTTCAGTTTTGCTTCTTGTTTTCTATCTTCATTGTGCCTCCTTACAATCTTCTCCGCCCAACCGTGATTAATTCTTTCACATTCTCTTAACATTCTCATTTCCATTTTATTTTCATGCCCAACAATCAAAATTTTAAATAAGTAAACTTCAATTTCAATGGCAAAACCAAAAACGAAAGAAAACTTCAATCTTTAGCTCAGCTCAAGATCTCGTTATCTAAATATTCATGCTAGTAATCAGGGGATTCCCGGCCTTATTGGAGCTAGTTAGTTTTAATACGGAATGTAAAATATTAATCCATTTCATCTTTCATATTTATTATTTTTTAAAATTAATTTATTTAACTTATAAAATAATATATAGTCTAATATTATATGAGTATTTTTGGGTGATTATATTACATTTATTAAAATTAAATAATTTATTGAGTTTTATTAATATAATGTTACACATGCTTGGAAGGGGCTAATTTTCCCTCACAACATAGCAAACCAATGTCCGAATCCCTGTTAGGAGATGTACTCACATTAATGTCTATCTGTAATAATATCTCAAATAAGATTGCTTTCAACAAAATGATATCCATGCGTACAGAAATAAATGTTACACACACCCACAATTTAAATTAAATTTAATGCCACTTAAGATAAGAATGAAATTGCATTATTAAAAAACAGATTTTGTCATCAATATTATTAGTAACATTAAGTATAAACTATTATATGCAAATTATGAGTAGTATGACATTTTTATTTTCAAATAATGTAACGGCCACCTCATTCATCAAAAGTATATAGATTACAGAAGATGGGTAGTGTGAAACTCAAACTGAACAAGTGACCGTATGAAGCATTTACTTCCACAGATTCCTGTAGATTGAATTTTTAAAACCAAGGATGAATATTTGTGGTCAACTTAATACTTCTTAATGCCTTTTATCTTCCCTTTTTTTTTTTTTTTTCCTTTTTGGGGTTGGAGTTTTTTTTGGGGGGGGGTCCTAATAGACAGTTAAGGATATCTTTTATATAGGCAAAGAAGATGATGATCCACATGTTTTGCTGTAAAGATAATGCATAACTTTTGGGACAAAGAGAGCAAAAATCAGAGCTGGCATTGGGAAAACCAGCAGTTCCATGTCTCAAGGAGACTGTCTTATTTAAGTGTATGGACTTTGGAAACTCCTTTATTTATTAATTAAATGCCCTTTTGCCTTATCTCTCAAATTTCCCATGCTGCTTCCATCCTCCACTGATTAAATTAAGAGGGCTAACTCCTTGCACCAGTTAATCTATACAAATAGTACGAGTGGATAATTTAAAATAATTTTGAAGAAAGTAAAATAACGTTTGTTAACACTTAACGTATTATTTTTTAAAAATGTTTTGAGGTTACAATGGTTTTATGAGTGTGTAACTGTGTATACATCTTATTAGCATTAAAAAATCACTTTCATGAATAAAGTGATTTATTCTTTTTTTTTTTAATTTCTCAATTTCATACTGATAAAGTAGCTTTTTTTTTTGGCCATTCATACTGATAAAGTAGCTACCCTTTACAGCTGCAGAAGATCAAATATACCACTATCCTCCTATTTATAAAGCCAAAAGGCGTCACAGAAGAGTAATAAGGTCCAACATGAACAAAATAAGGGGTAGGGTGCCCAATACTGTCCCTACAACACACAACTCAAACAGTTATTATAACATTTTAGCCTGATACATGACAAACGACAATCAATACTTTCTAAACTATCATGCCACGACATATTGTTTTCCTTGAAAAAGGCCCAAGTTGATTGCATTATGGACAGGGAAAGAAGGGAAAACCACATAGGAACAGCATATGGACATCGAACAAAAAGATTACGGATGGCCACATCTCTGAAATTCAGCAGCAACAGTCAGGAAGCATTTAAGGTGATTTATACAGATAACATCTACTGAGTTCCCTAATAAGTAATAAATCGTCCCTTTTATTTTTAACAGACCTCTAAAATACGCCACTACCATACAAATTCCTTCATTGCACCAATTTATTGCGCCACTGAACACCTAGGCTGGCTGACAGGAAATGGCAATGCAACAAAAGGAGGGGCTTGATTATGGCCGACAGGAAATGGCAATGCAACAAAAGGAGGGGCTTGATTAAGCGGAAGTGCAGCAGCTGGCAGCCTGAAATATTTTCCACAGAAATACATTCAAATTAGTCATATAGCATGCTTCTACACCAGTAAGTAACATTTGCTAGCCATCTTAAAAAGTTGTGTTCTACACCAATATAGAATGCACCTGAGGCCACAAAAGATATGGATAGAAAAAAGAAACATGCATTCTTTTTTTATTTGGTGTAAGAGAAACACGCATTCTAAAAGCTCAATGAATATTCGCTTCTACAAAAGATAACTTTATTCATCAAAGTCTCATGTTTTGTGCCCCACAGCCTTTTTAGCCCATTCCTATTCCAAAAGAATCCCGATTCTACAAGAATGCTTTCGTACCAAACACTTCGTTTCGGTTAAACTCTTTTCTGGTTATGCGTTAGCCACTCCAATCAAATAACATAAGTAACCATATACATCTGTTGATAAATACTCAGAACACGTCATTAATAATTCCACCTCACATGACTTGCGGTGGAAGGTAGTCAAAGGCAAAGGTGCCTCTAAAGTGCTAGATCTCTGAAGCGCCTTAGACGAAAGGTAAGAAGGAAAAGCACACACCCAAGTAAAGTGAGGTGCTTGAATAAGAAAATAAACGTTATATAAAAAGAATAGAAAAATGTGACCTGACATGATATCATTATATATGGAAAACTAAAATAAATCACTGATGTACATTTCCGGCTAATTTTGAAATGTGTGTATCTTAAAGCCTTTGTAGACCCTGTGCAATAATATGGGGTTCATTTCCATTGCCCAAAAGAAAATAACAGAATCTACACTGCAAAGAGGGCTTAAAATCCTGAAACAGGACACAAGGATTGGATTCTTGTTAAGTTTTGATCTTCAACTAGGACAAGTGGAAAAGCAACAACTGGCAACCAGAAGAACGAGAAACACGAGTAAAATTCATTATTTCAAACTAATCAAAATCTATTCAGCTGCATATTCTCTGCAAAACTCAAAAACATTCTTTCCCTGAGATTATTCTGTCTTAGAACTCTTTTCCTTTCCCTAAATCATGACAGTTGTAAGCCTGTAACAGAGGCATTGCGAAATCAAGACACATCAAAGGAAGACAGGCCAAGAAACTATTCAACTATCCTTGACTTAAATTACCTTGAACTGCCTTGGTCTAAAAATCAAATGCGAAGTCGCTAACCTCCACAGAACTACCTTGGAAGTTAGCATTCTTAACAAATACAGATAAACTGAATACCATATTAAAGCAGTAGTCCAGTAAAGCTATTACTTTGTTGAAACATAAGTTGTGGCCAACAAAAGTCATCAATCCTCATGGAAATAGATCCTAAACGTATCATATATTTGCTCTGTTTAAATCTAAATAGCTACCAGAAACAATGGCCTTATTCATGGATGCAGAATTTGAAACGCCCTTCATATGTTTGTTTCATCTCAGAAGTTTTGTTCCTTTATTCTTTTCTTTAACTCATGTCTATTGCAATAGGGGCCTCGGCAATATCAAAACATATCAAAAGGAGAATGTCCAGTGAATTTACAGGTTATATAAAGAAACACAATCTTATATGTTCTTCTCATGTCCAATGTGTTTTTTAAGATTGCTGGATGGTTACACAGCACTATAGATTAGCTTTTGCCACACGGAACCCCTGTCAGCAAGCGTCAAGGTGAAGTAATTGGAGCTAAACTTAAAAGGCAACGTTTCAAATAAATCATGCTTCCAGCATGGAAGCAGCAGACCAAAATAACTTTCGGTAACTGAGTGAAACAAGGGGGACCCAAAAAAAGACTTTTTCTTTTCTGCCATTTTTTATGCACTTAATAAGTTACACACTAAAATCTAGAAGCGGCAAAAAGTATAGCCAAGTAAATATATAGCAGACAAGAAAAATGATAGCAGAATTACTAAATAAAAGGTTTAAAATATTAAGGAACCTTACACAGAATCCATACGGGACTTCTTATTAGCCTTTTTCTTGTTCTTTTTGCGTTTCTTCAAACTTGAACTATCATCAATATGCTGTGGTTCACCTGCTTGCTGAGATAGATTTGAAAGTTTCGAGTCTTCAGGGCACTTTTCTAGTTTTGACATCCAGTATTCTTGTTGAAGCCCTCTAGAAGAGCACTCAGGAAGTGTAACTTCAAATCTGTTACTATTTTCATTATTATTAACTGTCACAGAAGCTGCATTAACAGACACACATCCTGAGTTCGCTATGTGTGAAACAGTACTTGCACGTTGTGAGCCCTTCACATTGTTGATTGCAGCATAAAACTTCAATTTTGACTTTATTACCTCCGAAAGACGTATTCCGGACCTAGAATCAGCTGCATTCCAAAATTAATTAATAGTTACAAAGAATGTCACCACATAATTAACCATAAACAAAACTGTACCTACTTAGATTTGAAAGAATAGCAGTTCGTGCAGCCAATTGCTCAGCCTCCTTTTTGGTTCTAGCTGGATCACCAGTGTAGGATTTACCATTGAAAACCAAAGATGATACAAAAAAAGGATTTCCTTTCTGCTGAACAGTGTGATATGTAACTTTATCCAGATTCATCTTGGCAGCAAATTCATTCAAGATGGACTTGAAAACCATAGTTTTCTGGAAGATAATCACAAAGTGAAATCACATAAGATTAATAACACTAAATGCAACATCAGAACATTACCAATCAACACTTTGGAAGATTACTTGTGCACAACAAACATTAAGAAATTGCAGCAAGCTTAAGGATATGTCAAATAGATTCACGAAAGTCCAGAAATAGACAAACAGTTCAGCAGTGAAAATAATTGTATCCCAAAAATACGAATGCTTTAGACTGAAGAAATGAGTTGTTCCTCTTTCTCATCATTCATCCACAACGCACACGCCTAAGTTGATCTAGAATGGCTTCAATAGGCTAAAAGATCATGTTAAAATGGTTTATATAACCACCAGCACACGAATGACCAAACTTCTGAACTCTTAAGTATTTGACAAAACAGATCTTCTAAAATGACAAGTGGTAGAAAACAGATTTTACAACTTATATCATACTAAACACATTAAAGCCATTCAATTATACATGAGGCTATAGTCAAATGCTATCCATGAATTATGCAAGACAAGTTTACATCAAAAGTTTAATTTTATACAAAGTAAGAAACCTAAGAATTTATAATGGCCTGTTTAGGAGGAAGAATTAATTTTGACCGAAAGGAAGGTAAGGAAAGGGAAGGGAAGGGAAAAATTCTAGACACTGACATGTTGGAACTTGGCTATGCAATGGAATGGAAGATGATTTGATGGGAAAATTTATGGTTGGAAGGCTGAAAATGATAATAATATAGATACGGAAAAAAGTCCAAATGACCATATCATTCTCAATGAGAAAATATAATATTATTTATTAAATATTTTTTCCTTTCAAAAAGAATTGTCTAACCCTTCCCTTTAATAGATCGACAATTGGATCCTACTTCTCCCAAACACCAGAAGTAGCCAAACCAAAAGAACGCACCATGAAGTATTGAGGATGGAGGACTGAATATGTGTTTAGGTGGAAACCAAACCGCAGTTTTAAAAGTGATTTTACGGCACACCAAGTGAATATGTAAGATGAGTTTTGTTTCGATTCATATAAAAGCAGTTTTTAAAAGTGCTTTTTGCTGATTCCAAACACCCCCCTGATCGGCGAAGGTGTTGAGGTGCCAATTCAGGCCACCATCATTACCTTTTTCCTATCAAGACTTTCTCCATGTTTGAGCCACATGAAAACTTTTCTAGTTTGGTTATTTATCAAATGAAAGACAGGTATGGGCTCAATAGACGAATCTTTTGGAAAATTTGGTGGCTTTACTAGTTTTCTACCTCCTACTAGGGTGGGTGTTAATGAACAATAGATTCCGCTTTATTTTATCAGTGTGGTCATCCATCAAGCTTCAGATAGAACGCCTCATAAAACACTGGTCAGGATTTTATTTATTTTGAGAAGCAAAGTCGTCTGTCAGATTTTCCTACTCCTGTCTGAAAATTGGTTCTCACTTGAAATTAGGTTCCAGGCAAAATGGGGCACCCAAACGTTTTACAGGAGGGAAAGGAAGCCCTATTCCTTTTCCAGCCCCAAATTTTCAGTGTAACAAACAGGCCCTAAAAGAACTCATTTCATACACAATGGGGAGCGGACAATGTGATAGCAATAGACATGATATGCAATAAGAGAGACAAAAAGAGAGAAATTGTGCAATTGAAATTGTAGTGAAAAATACGCCTATTGAAATCATAATCCTAAGCCAACAGACCTCAAAAATATCAGGAAGCCCTTCATCTTTAATCTTTGACACTATCTGCTCATATGCAAGTTTGGCAGCATCCTGTTCAGCTGCTTTTCGGACAGAAAAAACATCTTTAGAAGTATAGCACTTTCCATCAACGCACACCGTAGACCTAAACTTTGGGGCGTGCGCAACTCCTTCATTGACAGTTTGATAAACGGGTAGTGGCATGTTTGCCCTTTGAGCATATTCTTGTAACCGATTTTTGTGCATCAAATGTTCTGGAATAGCTGGAGAGATACAATTCATAGGATTAAAAATCCTTTCTGCGTTAGAAGTGTACTTAGAAGCAAGTTAGAATTGTCATATGATGATAAAAAATTCAACTACAATGAACTCATTTTATGTGCAAAAAATCAATAGAAACCAACCATAAAACTCGCATGGATTTTCCTACTATGTGCTGTAAGCAACGCTCAAAGTAAGCTGGGGTTGTAAAAATTTTCCCAAAAAAAAATAATAATAATAATTTTTGCCCAAAATATTCTTGCAAAGCTCCGCAGAAATCATATTCAAGTCACCTTCGCATATAATGACTGATAAAATCATATTCAAGTTACCTCCGCATATAAGGACTTGTAATAAAAACATTTATTCGGCAAAAAAAAAGAAAACAACAACAAAAGAGCAAGATACTTTCTCTTTCACAAGTGAAAGTAAAACATAGCTTTTGAATTTAAAATACTAGTAGTTTTTTTTTTTTTTTGGTTTGGGGGCGTGGGGGAATAGATAACGATGTAACTTTCCAGTATCCAAATAAATTCACAACATTAACGACTACTCGGCAGTAGAGGATGCTTGGAAATGGGAAAGTACCATATCAATCATATGAAAACAAAAATTTCAGAATCAATTCCCTTGCAGAGCAAGAAAACGGAGCTGGTAATGAAACCCAAAAAGAAAACTCACAAGGGCCAGGCGAAGTGAGCTGAGCTGATGTAGAAGGTCCAGGTGCAGAAGAAGACGGAGCAGGAAACGGGGCCCCGCGCTGGGCTGAAGAAAGTGAAGAAGAAGGCTGAGCTGAATGGGGCATTTTGAATGTAAAGCTCGGATGCTGCATATTCATGGGCCTCGGCGCAGCCATGAGCGCGTGAGTGCGTAAGAGTGCAATTCAGAAGGATGGAGGGAGAATGCGGGAGCCAACTAGGGTTCTAAACCCTCTCTGCAAATGCAACGATGTTAACTTCCCCTCTCGTCAGCAGATGCCATGCTTGTTGCTCTCCGAATTTGAAGGGGAAATAATAATAATAATAAGGGAAAATTTGGTCAAAAGACACTTAAATAACCCAAATTCTTATTTGAATCGTTAAATTTGTCAAAATTTTAATTAGATTACATGATTCAAAGAAAAATTTTAAAATTTCATGAAATGATTCTAATGACCATTTCATTAGAAACCAAAAGAATTAACATGTTTAATTTTGTAATTAACACATTTTAATTCTAAATTAACAACATTTTGAATACATAATAAAATTACAATAAGTTTTTAAATAAAACTTTACCATGATACAATATTGAATATTGAGATGTTCTATTTTATAGTGACCGCGATTCATTTTTTATCTCTATAACACTTTTGCAATAAGTCTTTGAATAAACTTAACCACAATACAATCTTAAAAAACAAGTTAACATGTTCTATTTCATGTTTAAATACATTTCAAATGTTATATTTCATAGTTAAACACGTTTTAATTCTAAATTAATATATTCCTGTCTTCATAATATGCTTGTAATAAGTCTTTAAACAACACTTTATCACAATATAACATTAAAAATTGGCATTTTCTATTTTGTAGTTAACAGATTTTAATTATAAATTAATAACTTTTTGTTAGGATAAAACTATTAGGATTAAAGGATTAGGATTTAATATTAAGGGGGTGTTTGGATAGAAACCAAACCATGGTTTCAGAAGTAAATATATGGAGGAAATTACCTCGTTTTGCGGAAAAGTGCTTCTGAAACCATGGTTTTGGATTTCCCAAACACCCCCTAAAACTAACTCATCGTTGCCTTTTTGATCAATTTTTTGACTTAGTAATGATAGATACTAAGTTCCTTCCTTTAGAGCTCTTGCACAATGCAAGAATGATAGAAAATCTTAATCTTTCTAAGTTTATGATGAAAAGAGCATTAGATTTATTTGATAAAATTTTTAAATCTCTTTTCGAGTCATGTGACTTAATTAGGATTTTGACAAATTTAATAACCCAAATAAAGATTTGGGTTATCGAAGTGTCTTTTAAAGGATTTTCTTTAATAATAATAATACTGTTTTTTTTATAATTGAAGTTCCCATCAATTGAACAGAATGTATTACAAAATTTTTCTAATTTCCATTAAATTAGGTCGTATATATTTAATAGACTTTTATAACGACAAAAATTTTGGCCAAAAAATATCCTATAAAATTTAAAAATGTGAATTTTAAATTTAAAAGCAAGTTAAAATATTGATAATAAAAACTATTTATATAATAAATAATTCAATAATTCATCTATGAGGAAATCCGCGGAGGTTAGAGATAGGCATTCAGGGAATTTTAAGAATTGGGGTTTTGGGTTAGGAAAATGGCAAATAAAGACCCCTAAATTATCAAAATTGCAAGCAGGTCATCTGAATAAGTCAAATTGCCAGGAAGGACCGGGTCTCAAATTGTAATTAGCAAATCATACCTAAAAGACTAAAATACCCTTTAGTTACTCAGATTCAATAATGAAGGCAAGCACTAGCGGGAGACTCCTTCCTTCCTTCTTCTCTTCAGACTTCCTCTCCCTCTCTTCTTCTTTCTCTGGCTTCCTTCTCCTCCACTTTCTCTTCCAACTTCCTCTCCCACTTCTTCTCAGGGTAGGAAAACTCTAGATCTTCTCCAGTGGCTTATTCAATGAAGGTGAACTCCAAATCTCCACCGTTGACATATTGCAGACTAGTTTGAGTTCTCAAGCATCCATGGTTTGCAATTTATGTGCACCCAACAATAACGATTTCGATTTCGATTTCTATTTATGTTCTTACACTGGACATATAGAGACAAATAGTAATCATTTTGCTTCTTTTAATACTAATTCACCTCTTTCTTTTCCCCATGATAGAGGAGAAACAAGGTGATGATGATCGATGAGATACTTGGTCTTGTACTAAGATTTTTGATTTTTTTTTTTTAATCTTAATTCGTTTGTTGTTAAGAGAAAGTTTTGGTTTTAGAGCTGATTTTAATCTTTTGAATTCAAATGGCTAATTGCAGAAACTGGCTATTATCAAAGCATATCTGGTTTTTTGTTATTTAGCTTACCATTATTGTAATTTCACTTAGTAGTGTTATAACTACAGACTTGTTATTATGATAGTAGCAACATGATATGACGATCTAAAAATGTTAATTTTTTGTTTATGAGTAGACCAATGTTAATATTTTGTATTTATCAGTTCTAAATGGTAACGATGTAGATCTGCTGAATGTTCTAAAGATATGAAAAACCCAGTGATAAACTTATAATTTTGCTTACCAAACTTGCTATTTTTGTCTTACTACTCTCATAATTTAACTTACCACTCTTGCCATCTAGCAGTGAAATATGAAAATAATGTCAATTTTTCATGAAACTTGATTTCATGAGAAATCTAGTGACAGAATTGTTATTTCGCTTACCACTCTTGTTATTTGACTTACCGCTCTTGTCATTTGGCAGTGAAATGTGAAAATAATGACAACTTTTCATGAAACTTAATTTCATGAGAAACCCAATGACAGAATTATTATTTTGCTTACTACTTTTGTCATTTGACTTACCGCTCTTGTCACTTGGCAATGAAATATGGAAATAATGACAATTCAAACTGAAACATTTAACAATCTCAAATTCAAATGTCATTTCAACAATACATAACTATCATTAATAATTCATAATAGTGGTCACTCATCAACAAAGTAAAAAATATTAAACCCATCTTAAATACAATAACAATATGTATAATTCATCCTTATTTTTCTATTAAAACTATCTATAATGACTTCCTCTTTCTTTTGGTGTTTCGTTCGTTGTCATCTCTTGCAAGTTTAGTATACCAAATAACAAGTTTGGTATATCAAGTAACAATTTAACTATCATAAATAACAAGTTGAGTTTAGAAAATGATAACTTAAATATTATATAAAACAAGTATATCAAATAACAATTTAACTATTGTAAATAATAAGTTAAGTTTAGAAAATCACAACTTAAGTATATTATATGACAAATTAAGTATATCAAATTACAATTTCATTCATTTTCAAATTTCTTTGGCAAATGACAAGTTGAGTAAGCCAAATAATAAGTTATGAAAAGTAATTTATATGAAGTTCATTTTTTTCCTCAAATAACATTATTTTTAGATTTCTTTGGCAAAAGACAAGTTGAGTAAGCCAAATAACAAGTTATGAAAAGCAATTGATAAGAGTAGAAAGCCAAATAACAATTGTGATAAGTGAAATTATAAGTCTGTGAGTGGGTGTCATGAATTTTAGAACATTAAATGGATCTATATTGATACTATTTACAACTATAAATACCAAAAGTTAACATTGCTCTGCCCATAAACAAAATATCAATATTTTCAGATGGTCATGTCATGTTGCTGTGATCAAACTAACCAATTTGCGATTACAATATTACTAAGCAAAATTACAACAATAGCAAGTCAAATAACAAAAAACCAAAGGTGCTTTGATAGCAACTAGTTTCTATAAGATTCAGTGACAAATGCACCTCAAACTAACTATAATCTCATCCAACTAACATTTTCCATCATTAACTTCACATCTCATTCTCTTCCACCGTATAACCCAGCGACTACATTGCAACCCATCAAGATGATGCCATGCTAATCGTGAAGTATATATACCTGTAGTGTCTTGGGTAGCTAGAATCTCATCCTCTTCAACATTGATTTTGTATACCATCTTTAGAGCACTATTGCTATCAACTTGAATCTGATTACTCTTGCCAACTAGCATTAACGATCGGTCACTAGTTTTTTTTATAATAAAGATTGCTGGGAATGGCTACAACTTTAATCCCATTGATAAATGCATAGGCAAGAGATAATTGGTTTTAAGAAGGAGAAGAATAGAAGTAAAAAGAGGGAGAGGGAGAGGAAGAGGGAGGGAAGGACAAAGAGAGAGAGATAGGGTGGTGGAAGCAAGAGAAAAGAAAGGGCATTTTAGTCTTTTGGGTTTTATTTCATAATTACAATTTGAGACTAGGTCCCTCCTAGTAATTTGACTTATTCAAGTGACCTCTTTGCAATTTTATTAATTGAGGGGTCTTTTATTGCCATTTGCCCTTTTGGATTCGCTTTATGGTGCTGTTTCTTTGATATGCACAAGTATTTTTCTGTTGAAAGTAATTATGTTCAATACATTATTGAGTACTAAATGTAGGCAATTTTCTCAGCAATGATTCAAATTTTAATTCGCTAAGTTATGAGAAATCAGCCCCTTCACTATACTTAATATTGGTGGTGCCTGTTGAATTATAACAATTTCAATAATGTTCTTTTGAATGACTGAAAAAAATGGGCACCTAAATGTTGTTTTTAGTTTCTGTAATTAGCCAAAAAAAGTGTGCATAATGAGAAATGATCAAACTTGGAAAAGATCTTGACCTCCTTAAGATAATCGTAAGTGAACTGGGTTTTGATAAAAAAGTAAAAAACTGAAGTCCTGAAAAAGTGTTGGCCCAAAAAAACATAGCAGCGTCTCGGCCAAGAAAAATAAAAAGTGAAAAGCAAATAAAAGTGAACTGGGTTTTGATAAAAAACTGAAGTATTGAAAAAGTGTTGGCCCAAAAAAAACATAGCAGCGTCTTGGCCAAGAAAAATAAAAAGTGAAAAGCAAATAAAAGTGTTGGCCCAAATGAACGAAAATATTGATGAAGTACAAAAACAACACGTGAGCGGCAGGATTCGAACCTGCGCGGGCAGAGCCCACATGATTTCTAGTCATGCCCGATAACCACTCCGGCACGCCCACTGTTGTTGGTCAGGTCAAGTGCATCTTTTTAAATGTCAGCCTTGTGAAATTTGTTGACTCCAATTTTATAGAAATAAAAAAAATGATGAAAGGAATAAATGATACTGTTGTTTTTATTTATTTGCTGGGTCATGTGTA